ATGGACTTGTACCCTCTGCTTTTTGAAAGAAGCTTGAATTCTCCATTTTCAACATGAAGTCACAAATTCACATTTTAAAAATTCAGGTGGAAAAGTGCTTTCTCTTGGGTCAGGTTTGATCTGTGGGCTACCAAGTTGCCACTGCCAGTTTAGTATGAATTAAATCACCAGGCGCCATGTTGGTCCTATGTTGACAGGACTTCAGCTCAGCCCATCTTTCCATGGGCCTGGTGTGGTGTCCTGGGTTTTGGAGGAGAAGGTAGGCTCAGTGAAAGAAAGGATCTCAGCACAAAGGAACAGAACTGCTTGGGGGAGCTTTGTTCTGAGGCTTCCAACCTCTGTTCACCTTTATTTTCCTTTGGTTTGCTGGCATGAAGCCTCCTTTTTCACCATCATTTGCTTTATCCACCACCTCTCTTTCATACTCTCCTCTCACACCAGGAGTGATTTAGAACTGAGGAATGCAACATCCAAAATTCCTTTCACTTATTTTTGGTTTTCTGAGTACACGTTAGCAGTACGTAATGATCACATTCATCTTGGGGGCTGGAACATCTGAATTCTTTTTATACTTCCCTTTCCTCTTTCCGTCTCCAACAACCAAGATTCTAGTGACTGTAGAGAGCTGTGTTCACACAAACTAAACTTGTTGTTGGAAGAAACTCTTGGTTTCCTTACCACCTCCTGGCTCGTTCTTTCTCTATCCCTCCTCACAGGAATTTCCAGCATGTTCCACCCTCCTCGTACTCTGCCTTGTCTCTGACGTTCGCCCAAGAATGCCAGTGCCCTTTTCCTTGGGTTTTAACCTGCTTTTCCACCCGTGGCTGTAGGAGCAGACGTGACCACTGTGCATTTTTCCTGGAGATCGTAGTCCTGCTCTAGAGCTCTCTGGACACGGTGCAGGAAGGACCCAGTGAGCTGATGACTTGAAAAGCCAGAATTGCAATGAAAAAGTCAGCGGTGTGATTTCTGCACCTGAAAAGGTGTAGAGGAAGTGCTTTTCCCTAGTCTTCCTGTTAAATCCATCTAAAGCCCTTAGGCCTTATGCAGAAATCAGCTCACAAAGACTGCTAGGCAGAGAGGAGAGGCAGGTTAGCTAGGAACCCAGGATACCCATGGACAACACATGTACCCTCCTGGCCTCCAGCCTTAGCCCTGGAGAAGTCAGGATCCCAGAGGTGCCTGCAGGCTAACTGAAAACCAGCTTTTTCTGGCCAAAGCCAAGCAAAACAGAAAATTCTCAGATGATAACTGCTTTAGGTCAGTCAAAAACAAGGGGCGGGGGGTGCCAAACTTTGGCCACAACAACAAAGGCTAAGCAGGAAACCCAGGCCTTTGTCTCTCCCTGGGGTGCGGTGGGGCCTTCCTCACGCTTTGTCTAAGTCAGCTCAGAGCAGAAAAGCAAAACAGAAACTCCAAACAAGGGCCAAAGTCTGATGATGTGATCTACATGCAGCCATATTTCAGTAAAAATCATTTATCAAGAAACACAACTATCTAACATTGGACCAAAATAAGATGCTCAACAGAGGCCCACAGAGAGAACAGATATTACATTTTTAGTATTATAAAGCGGCCATGATAAAAATGCTTCCATGAGCAACTACTGACATACTAAAAATGTAAAAAAAAAAAAACCAGGAAGTCCTAGCAAAGGAATAGAAAATATAAAGAAGAACCAAATAGAAATTTTAGAACTGAAAAAATACATAACAAAATGCCCAATGAATGGTCATAAAGGCTGAGAGTAGGGGGCAGAGGAAAGAATCAGTGAACTAGAAGCCAGGGGCTAGGCTGTGATGCTCAAAGTAGAAAATCCTGAGTAAAATGCAAACAAAATCAAAAAGCAAAATTCAAGACCTCTATACTATATCTGATAAGCGAGCTCAGCAGGGTTATAGGATATAAGATCAACAGCCAAAAATCAATCTTATTTCCATATACTAGACATTAGCATGTGGAAACTCAAATTAAAAGCATATGACATTTACAATTAGTTAAAAGAAACAAAAGGGTACATCTGACAAACTATGTGCAGCACTTTATGCTGAAACTCTTCAATCTTGATGAAATAAATCAAAGAAGAACTAAATTAATCGATAGCTATCCCATGTTCATGGATTGAAATTCTTTTTCAGTATTTTGTGGAATTGGGGATAGAGCCTAGGGTCTTCCCACCGAGTTAAATCCTGAGCCCTTTTTATGTTTTGAGACAGATTCTCACTGAATTGCCCTGACTGGGCTCAAAATTGAGATCTTCCTGCATCCGCCTCCCGTAGACTGGAGTACTTAACAGTAAAATGTTAATTTTCAGGAAATTGATATACATGTTTAACATATTTCCTATCAAAATGTCAGCCTGATTTTTTGACAAATATAGAGAAGATTATTCTAAAACTTATATTGAAAGATAAAGGAACTAGACTAGCTAAATCAACCTTATAAAGGAAGAAGAAAGTGGAAGGAAATAATCTGTCCAATTTCAAGTTTTATCAGCTAGTTTATTTTTTATTTTTTGGTGGAACTGGGGATTGAACTCAGATGCTTGCACTTGCCAGGGAAGCGCTTATTCTACTGAGCCATCTCCCCGGCCCCTTATCAGCTAGTTTAATAATAAAGATTGTGTGACATTGGAAGGATCAGCTCAGATCAGTGGAGCAGAATAGAAAACCAGAAAAAGACTCAAACAGCAGAAGAGCAGAATTTTAGCAAAGGTGCAGGAGTTCATGGGAAGAGCATCAGTTTTTTCAAAAAGCCACAATGGTGCAGCTGGGTGCATACAGACAAACAAGTGCACATTACCCGAATCTCTCACCTTCTACAAAAACTCAGTCTAAACAGGCTACAGCAGCAACATAAAATGCAGAGCTGTGCAATTTGTACAGAAAAGCATTGGAGAAAATCTTCAAATGTGTTGGACCAGACAGAGACCTCTTTAACTTGACACCAACAGAATGACCCATAAAAGGAAAAATTGATATATTGGGGGGTCTTACCAAAGTTAAAGATGCAGGTAAGAAAATGAAAGGATCCACTATGAAGAAAATACTTGACTAGTTTAGAATAAATCAACAATTTTCAAGACACAACAGTAAAAGAACATTTCACTGAACAGGACACAGAAAATAAAAAGGTAAGTAGAAAGGAGCACATGGAACACAGTAAGAAATTTCTTAATGTTTTGTGGTGAATGTTAATTAAAAGGAAAAGGTCAGCAATAGACTAATACCCCTCACTCCCAAGAATTGAGGTCTCACCATGTGACCTTGAATTCCTGGGCTCCAGTCATCCTGTTGCTTCCTGATAAGCCATGGCCAGGTGCCTGCCCTAGTTTATTTACTCCCAGATTATTGGTCAGCTGCCCAGTGGCCAAACTGGGAGGAGCTCTAGATTTCTACAGACATCTGCAAAGTCTCTCTTTAAAACTTTCAAACTATCTCAACCCAAATCCCTGGGAGAGGGAGCATATTATTATTATTATTATTATTATTATTATTATTATTATGTTTTTTGGCAGAACCGGGGGTTGAACTCAGACCCTTGCACTTGCTAGGGGAAGTGCTTATTCCATTGAGCCATCTCCCTGGCCCGGGAGCATTTTATTTTATTTTAGCGGAACCGGGGATTGAACTCAGGCCCTTGCGCTTGCCAGGGAAGCACTTATTCTACTGAGCCATCTCCCCGGCGGCCCGGGAGCATTTTAAATAAAGGCTGTGTGAGAGGGCCAGCCACACCCTGCCACCATTCCAGGCAAATACAGCACGTAGACCCAGCTTTGCAGTCTTCACCTCCCTGACCCCAGGCTGCTCCTAAATCTTGCCAGATTCCCAGATAAGAAGCTATAGCCACTCCTCCTCTATCCAGCCATCTGATCAATTCAAGGCAGGGACACAGAGAGTGGCCACACCTTCAGCAGGGCCTACTACTTATGCTGCTTCTCTAGGGCTACAGTTCAGTCCTGAAGCCAGAGGAAGGCAGGTCACAGCTCAGGGCCTCCTGGGACCCCAGCTCCTGGAAGACGTGGGCACTCCAAGTCCATTGCTGAAGGTATCCTGGACAGCGTTCAGATCGCCCAGGCCTGTGCCCATGCACAGGAGTTTTGTGGAGAGCCAGACAGGGTGGAGGAGCAGGCACGTGGGGGTGCACGGCAGCATGCTCTGGCCTCTTATCACAGCCCAGTTTTTTATTGTGTATGTGTGTGGTGTGTCTGGGTGTGGTGTCTGTGTGAGGTGTGTGTCTGTGTATCGTGTATGTTGGTGTGAGGTGTGTCTCCATTTAGTGTGTATCAGTGTGGTGTGTTTGTGTGAGGTGTATATCTGTATGGGGTGTCTGTGGGTACGCATGCGTACGTGTGTATACCTGTGTTGCTTTCTGTGTATGTCTCTTTCTATGAATGTCATGTGTGTGGTGTGTGTGAGTGCATGCATGTGGCATTTCTGTGCCCCTGTGGGCAGTGTAGTGTTTATGGAAAGGGGACACGTGTGTTTGTGGTATGTATGTGCGCAAATGTGTGCTGTGCGCCTCTACATCTGTGCACGTTCCCATGCCTGGTGCTCGTGAGCGCGCGTGCGAGCCGCGTGCCCTCTTGCGCGGTGACAGTCCCCAGTCGGCCACCTCGGGGGCGCGGCTGCCCGCGAGGCCCGGTGCGCGGGCGGTGCCCCGCTCCTCCCCGAAGGCAAGGCACACGTGGGCCCCGGCGCCGCCTCCCCGCGTCCCCACTCACAGCGGCCGCCCCAACACCGCCCTCCCGGGGATAAAGTGGTGGTGCGGACGCCGCGCCCTGTCGCCGCGCGGAACCGGCGCGCGCACACCAGGACCGCGGCGCTCGGGGACGTGACGGCCTGCGTGGCCCGGTAACCGCCTCCCGTTCCCGCCCCAGCCCGTCGTGGCCGCCGCGGGGGTGGGGGCTGCATCCGGGGTCCCCGGCGCGCTCGGCGTGGGCTCCGCGCCCCCCGCGTGCGTGTGCATGCGCGAGGGTGCGCGGATGTCGGGGTGCGCGGGTGTGTGAGCGCCCCCTGCGGCTCCTTCGCGCCAGCACTGACCAACTTGTCCCCTCCAACTCCGTGTTCCCCACCTGGGTGCGGTGACCCCGGGGCGGCGAAGTACCCAGTCCCGGGGCGTTCCGAAGACAGCACCGGGCCCCGTGCACCGTGCAGTCGGAGGCGCGCGTGCGCGCGCGCGCGCAGCAAAGTTTGTCCTGAGCCCCGCGGGGACACGGCCTGGGGGACCCGCGCTCGCACCGCGAGGCGCCCCGGGGTGCGCGGAGCCCGACCCGGCTTCCCTGACGTGGGTGCCGGCACAGCCCCACCTCCCAGCTCCCCGGCGATTTGTTTGGGGAAAGTGATGACAGGAACTAGTGGCAGGGAGTCGGTGCCCGGTGTCCGCCCCGGCAGGGAGGGGAGTTCACGGGGCTGTTGGTGAGCGCGGCACATACTCGAGCCCCGAAGCCGGGAACTGGGGCGCCAGGCGCCGGGCGGGGCGCGGGGCGCAGGAGCTGCTGTGACCGCCGCAATGAGGGAGCAGCCCTTATTTGCCTGGCTGTGATCCTCGAGGCTTGGCGGTTGTGGAATGCAAAAGCCAGGACGTAATGGAAGCAGGTTTGTGGTGCATCTTTGGGATTTCAGAGAGGAGAATTAACCCGAGCTTCATCCACCTCGTCATTGTGCCCCTAGAGACCATTCCTGGGAGGTTTAAGGGAGATGGGGCTTCTTGCAGCTGGGTCTTTGTACCCACTGAGCTGACTATAATTTCCGCTTGATTACAGCTAAAATAGTCTTTAAGATGAAGTTTCCTGAAATGATTTAAAATAAACACAGATGGAAAGGGGGGAAAAAGCTGTAATGAGGCACTTAAAAAATAAAGTGAGCATTTTCTTAAGAACAAGTGGGATTTTCATTCTTGGGGAGGTTTGTAAGAAATGTATGTAATTTTAAAAAGTCTTTCAAATAGAGGTTGGTTTTTTCTTTGTCAGCTTTAGAAAAATGTTCCTGACTCTGCACAAGCTGTTATCTCTAAGAGTTTCTGACTTGGAGATGTGTTTGCCTTTCTTGCCAGGACCTGAAGACCCTTCCAGGATGCCCGAGGAAGGTTCCCCAAAGCGGAATCCACAGAACAATCCGGACCCAGACTTCCCTCACCTGGTCAACATGGATGGGCAGTGCCTCTACTGCCGGTACTGGAAGCCCAGCGGGACTCCCAAGTAAGTGTTTTTCAGCAGTGGGCCATACGCAGAGCCACTCTCAGTGACCTACATCCTGCGTCCTTTCACCCCTGACCACTGTAACTAATGAAACTGAGCTTGGTACTTTATCATTTTCTGAAAAATTAAGAAGCAAGAGTTCTTTTTTTCATGATAACAACTGAAACAACAAATGGTACCGTATGTCAGTTTTCAAAAATTCTGCATGACTTTGGTTTTTGCACGGAAGTTGATTTGCTATTGTACAGGCATTCGTTTAAAATCAAACCCAACAAGTAAGTAAAAATCCTAAATGCTTTAAAACCAAAATGATATAGAGATCTGCATGTGTCAAGATCTGTAGCTATTTTGACCCTTGCTCTCTATTCTTGCTTAATTCTGAGCCTCCAAAGATGGTATCAAGTGTCATGGAGGGACAGGGTGCAACTCTTATTCACCACCGCCTCCCCTCAGGGATTTGTCTTGCTGTGGGAAGCTGGCGTGGGGACTGCACATAGCCAGACAGCTGGTCTCCTGCTGCTCCGCTCTTCCTGGGGGAAGCAGGAAAACCCTGCTTGTTTGTGTTATTCCGGGCAAGACTGTTTGTAGTGACCAGTTGGCCTGGTGACAGGCAGTTTCCTGTGCCCTGTTCCAGGGCAGTGCACCTGTTCTGTAGGCCTCTTGTCTCCTCAGGGGGATGATGTGGATTATGTTCCCCTCTGTATCTGGGTAATCTACTACAGCTGTATATTTCTCCTGTGTCTTCAGTAAAGTACGTGTAATTCGGGCAGCTGCACATTAAAAACGCGCAAGCTCCAACTCAACACCACAGCTCCGGGGCAGCTGTACCACCTTGCCCTGTTGCTTTCTCTCTAGGGTCCACCCAAAGTGGGCAGCAGGCTGATTAGAACTCCTTCCAGTTTAGAATTTGTTCGTGTATGTGTGTGTGTGTGTGTGTGTGTGTGTGTGTGTGTGTGAGAGAGAGAGAGAGAGAGAGAGAGAGAGAGAGAGAGGAGGAAAGATACAGTTTGTTAAGCATATGATGCTGTTAGTGTTGTATTCTCACTCTATTGGCCATAACATTTGGCACCCTGGTTTGATTCTTACCAAATTATTGTATGGTTCATACACAAAAAGAGAACAAGGAATTCAAAGCTGCAGTATTCAGTGTACAGCCCCAAGCTTTGGGGGCTTTGTTGATTGAATTGCGAGTGTCCTAGTTTGGAGTAAATAAAAGAGAGCGGCTGGGAGTGGTGCGCCTGGCCCAGTTGGCTGCCCTCCCTGGACTGGAGGAGGCTGGCACCCCTGCCCCTGCCTTGCCCTGTAGGCAGCTCTCCTTGCCCCGTGTTTTCACTCAGCTTGCAGGCAGCAGCTCAGCCCCAGAGTTGCAACTGAGCTGTGTCCAGGAAGCTGTACCCAACTTGTGGTAGATCCTGAGGGCAATAAAAAGGGAAGGATGGGAAGGCTGCAGGGCTGTAGGATTTGGAAGAGACTCGGGTCTGGAAAAGAATTAAGGAAAAACAGAAAAGGTAAGGGAAACATATCCACCAGCATTTGTGACTCAGTTGACACTTTGAGTAGAGGGTTTTCTGGAAGAGGATTAGAGGTCAACAAAGGTCAAAGGGCCACCATCTACCTGTCCTGCCTCCACCCCCTTGAGATGACACTGATCATTAAGCTCCCTCTGTCAGGGTTGATTGTTGACAGCATTTCACAGCTGTCCTCACCAATGGACCAGAGCAGGGTCTTTGAAGTCCCCTGTGGTGACAGGTGTCATTCTGTGGTGCTGGATTTTGGGGGGATTTGGGGTCCCAATGAAGGGGCTTGTGGCAGCCAGTGTGGTGGAGAAGCAGCAAGGGCCCAGGACAGAGGATTGTGCCAACCAGTGTGGAGGCATCTCTTTACTAATGACAGAGGGACAACAGCCCGATTGCATGGCTAGAAGGCACTCTCCCCCAGTGCCTACATGGCATCATCTAGTTTGCTTCTGGAGGAGGGCATCTTGGGCCTCAGCTTCACCCTGTTCTGGAACCTTTCTCCCCCCTTAGTGTAGTCAGAGCTTTCCCTCACACAATCCTGCCTCCTGGATCCAAAGAAAGGGAGTAAACCAAGAGGGGACCTGCCTGGACCCACCCCCTTGTATGCTGTACTGATGGGGGACACCTCTCCTGGTTGCCACCTGCTGCATCCTGATCTCTGGTGGAGGCCTCAGGCCTTCAGACTCCCCTGGAGTCCTGTGGGCAGTCTTCCCTGGAGGGATGCATGTGTGTACATGTGCCTCCCATTGTTAGTTTGCACTGCATTGGGTTGGTTTTCTGGGCAAAGTGCCACTCCCTGGGCCACTAGAGTGCCTGCTGCGGGACGAGGGCTCCACCATCAGCTCTGTAGGTGCTTCTAGCAGCAGCTTAGGAGTTTCAGGTGGCAGCTGCAAGCTGGAACACTAGCCTAACCTGCTCTCTGAACACAAGCTGTGGCTTTCTAGATTTCCGACTCCTCAGGCAGGACACTGAGAAGGAAGAAGGCGTCTCTTCCATCAGTCATTACATTCCTAAGGCCAGCAGGATGCTGCTTCTAACAGAGCAGGCTTGGTCTCCATTCATCCCTCCGTTTGGCAGTGTCAAGGCCAATTCCCAATCCTCTAGGAATATTTGTAGCAACAATGAATACTGTTCTACCTTACAGTATATCTCATTTTAATTGAGTACCAGGTAGGTCCTGGGTTTGGACTAGACCCTGTACTTACATGATCTCATTTAATGTTCACATCAATCTCTGATATCCTCACTACTATGTGTACGCACATGCATGTGTGTGTGCTGGGGACTGAACCCAGAGCCTGTGCAGTGAGCCTGTCCCCAGTCCTTTTTTTTTTTTTTTCAATTTTGAGACAGGGTCTTGCTAAGTCACTAAGTTGCCCAGCTTGGGTTCTAACTTGAGATCCTCCTGCTTCAGCCTCCGAGAGTACTGATTGCAGGTATGCACTGCCATGCCCAGCAATATTATTATTACTGCCTTCCACATGAAAAAAGGAGAACCAAAGTTATACAGCATCTCATCCTTGGATGACCCAGGTGCTAGTGGCCGGATTTGCTCTCAATTCTTTTGACTCGGAGCCAGTTGTTCTTTTTAACACTGTACTGAGCATGACAGATTGTGACTCACAGGTAGTGCTTTCATGATTAGTCTTTATGTTCAGGGTTAGGGAACAGATCACTTCCTAGAGCAAAAGCAAATAGAATAATCCTCCTTCAGTATTTACTCATAATATAGTGGACGTGGGCTGGAGATTAAGGAGAGTACCCATTCTAGGGGGGAAAGTCCTGTTATGCTCTCAGTGACCAGCTACCTCGTCAGCTTTAATATGCTGGAATCTTAACATACTGATTCTTAGATTTAAAAAAATTCCCATTGATGACTGGCAAAGCCATGAATGTGGGTTTGTTTGTTTGTCTGACAGGGTCTCACTGTGTAATTTAGGCTGGTCTTGAGCTCACTATGCGATCCTCCTGCCTCAGCTTCCACAATGCTGGGATTACAGGTGTGTGCCACCATGCCCAGCAGCATGGGCTTTAGAGCTGAGAGTAATAGTTAGTACCTTTTTATTCCACCCACCAAGTGGCCCTTAATCCCAAAAAAGGATGATAACTTCACTGCCCAACTCTTTCACCATACCCAGAACAGTTAAGGTGCTTCCAGGCCACTGGGTAAAAGGTTAAATCACAATGTTGAGTAGTGATATGATGGAAACAGCACAAAAAGCCTTCATTTGATTCCTCCTGACCAGGAAGGCTTTGACCCCTGCAAGCTAGAGCTGGGGGCTCAGAGGGGACTGTTCCTGCTCCTGTGCTGGGCAAGGCCTGCCGTGATAGAAGGACACTTAGGAGTGGCCTGTGGCCATCGCCCCCCTCTGGATTCATCTCCCTACCCACGGGCTCTGCACTTGAGGTCTGGGTGGCCTCCACCTCTGAGGAACAGCCATGCTTTCCTTCCTCTGGTGGCCTCTGTGGTGACCATGGTGTGGGTTGAAGAAAGGGCCGGCCGCCTGGGAGTGTGTGAGTTCCCCCAGACATGGCTGCCCCAAGCACACCGTGGGAGATCATTCCTTTGCGTTTTGTCCTACATTCCTTCCCCTATATCTGCAGAGGCTGGGCGGAGCAGAGTCCCTTCTCTGGCCTGGCTGACCTTGCCGTCTTTTTCTCGGTTTACCCACGGCTTCAGCAGTGTTGTTTCCTCCTCCGTGACCCCAAGGCCATGGCCTTCCCATGACTTCCTCTTTGCCAGCCTCCCAGCTTCCCTCACTGGGCTGTCCCGAACTTGGTGCAGCCTGTGGTTTTCAGGAATTTCCTGCCAGCCACTCCCTGTTTCCCTGGAGAGAGAGCTTCAATAGGGCCGTCTGGCTGGGCCTGAGCGCTCTACTTCCCTGAGCCACATTGATCACTTTCTCTGAGGGCCTCCATGTCATCTGGATTGCTGAGCAGTGCCACCCCAGGACCCTTCTTCCCATGTGTGCAAATTACTCAGAGGAAAAACCTTTTGCAGGAAACTAAAATATTTTGTAATGGCTCAAAACATCCTCCCTTCCTGCCACTCTCAAAATGTCCTCCTGGAGTCAGCTGCCAGCCTTTCGGGTGTGGCGTGGTGGCTCCAGAAGATAAGGCCCCACCCGGCCATCTGGATCCAGACTCAGGAGATGAGGCGCTCTCACTATGCGACTGGCTGTGATTTCCTCTTCTCTGCCTTCTGGGAATTTACTTCTCCAAGATAAGCTTGGTTCCCACCCTCCCTTGGGTTGTAAGCCTGGTGTTTGCTGCTTGTCTCCCTCCCTGCTTTGGGTCGGTTAAGCACTCAGGGGACCTTCAGGGGTCCTGGCTTTGTCTCTGAACAGGGTCCAAGAAAGTCGCCCTAAAGAGAGTCTCGCCTTGCCCTACTCGGCTCTTGACTCATCCTTTGCGGGCTACACAGCAAAGCCTGGCTTTACAACCAGGGTCCAGCACAAGGCATTTGCCTGGGTCTGCAGTTTA